TTATATACTAGTTTCTTTAGAGAAATTGATAATTAATAATATAATTTTAATTTATAATTAATAATCTTATTTTAATTTATAATATAATTTATAATTGTTAATATAATATTTATTTAAATTTAAATATTATAACTATATTTTAATAAAAAAATTAAATCTCACTTTGATGAAAAAATGCGTGTTTTGGTCTTTTTCTCAGAAGAAAAATTTCTCGAGACTCATTTTGCGGGATACCTAACAATCTGTCTCGTAATTGCATATTTTGACTTGTTAAGATTTTTATGTTTATATTGTCATTATTATTTAAGGCAGTTTTTCGAAGGCTCCGTCGTAATATGAAATTATGCTTTTTTTTCCAACAATACGCTATTTTTTTATATTTGCTCTGAGTTTGCAACTGTTACTCATGATTGTTAGGTCAAGTTTAGATATTTAAAGCCAGCGTTGTCTACGTTTATTTTGAAAATGGCGCAAAACATCAATATGGGGAAAAGTCATAGTTTTTGGAAAATTAAAAGCTCTCGTGGTCTAATTGTTTAATATTTAAAAACATACTCCAATGCTGCATTGACTGTATTCATTGAAATTTGCAAAAACTGAGAAGACGGCAGTAATTTTGATAATTTTCATCTATGTGGAAAAATGTCGCCAAATTGGTGATTTTTAAAAATGGTAAAAAAATTTTTAAAGTATTTAACAACGGCTTCAAGTGTAAGCCACTGAAACTATGCCTTTTTTTAAAATTTTCCTTGGTGACAGAGCTTCGAAAAGTATTATTAATAATCGTTAATGATACTATTCTGTTGTGAGTGACCAGGTGGGTAAATTAAAATACACTACTAACTGATAAAACAGGAAAAAGCCAAGATTGATTCTGTCTGAGTAGTGCACAGTTTACCTACTAAATCATATTTCCAAATTGAAATATATGTGTCTAAATGTTTTTAACAAGATGAAATCCTAAAAATAAAATTTAAATTAAATTATTTAAAATTCGAAAAAGTGTCGGGACACTTATTTCAATTTTTTTTGTTTTTAAAGATCATAGAAATCCGGTTATAATAATATAAATCTAAATACACTTCTTATAATCTCACCCTCCAAAACAGAGGTTATTTAAAGAGGCAACATTTAGCCAAGACAGCAGAATGTTGGATAACTTGGAAAAACTGAAATAATTTGTATTTCTTAAGCGCAGGAGGTGATCAGTATGCATTGAAATCATTACAATATTTTAACTTAATTCAATTTTTGTAAAACTTCAATTAAGCAATTAAAAAAAACTATTGCATGTCGATAGTACAGTTTAAAGTTCTATTAAAAAATTTTAAAACAGCGTTCGATTTAATTTGTCATTTAAATTTTGAGTGTTTTGCTTGACTGGAAAATATCGACCGATTTATAAGATTTTTACGTAAGTTTCTTCTTTTTGAATGAGACATCTCCACAATGCAGCATTTTGAACTAAAATCTTTCGGCCCACCCTAATATACACCCAATACACATAATCCCATTCCTAAGGTTCCCTCGTGCCTTTCTACCCCTTGTTATTTTGTGTAAGTTTCTTCTTTTTGAATGAGACATCTCCACAATGCAGCATTTTGAACTAAAATCTTCTTTCCGCCCACCCTAGTATACACCCAATACACATAATCCCATTCCTAAGGTTCCCTCGTGCCTTTCTACACCTTATTATCGCATCCATCCTCTTCTTGTATGTTAAATAGTTTAATGCTACTTAGAAAGACTTTTAATTTTCCCTAAAAAAGAAATATATTTATAAAATAAAACCATTTCAAACTAATCTTCTTTTCTTCAAAAATGCTTAATAAATGAGAAAAAAAATATTACCTTTTTCCTGATCTGGACTTAGCTGAATAAATTCAGCTAAAGTAACAGTGAATAAGCCAATGACGAACAGAGTAATCTCCATGTTTGTAAAATTAAGTTGGAGGTAAAGGTATATATATTCTGTGACTATGTGACAAAGCTTTTAAATGTACCATGTGTGATACGATTATTTAATCATTGATGAGAAAAAGCCTTCTGTTGTTTTTTTATTCAGAAATCTCAGTAAAACATTTAAATATTTATATTTATCGAAATTCGTTCGAGAGCAGGATATGTAAGAAAATGATAATCATTCTGCAGGTGTGAAAAGTTGAAAATAATTATAGCTAGCTGAATTTTCTGCTTTCTGAATTTTTTCCTTTAAAACAAATTAAGGTTTCAGCTGCTTATAAATATTCCTCTACGTTTAGATAAAAGATATGTAATTATAATTTTTTAAGTCAAAATTTAAATTCTATTACTAAATTTGATTATTATTGTAATGATAAGGATTTTTCTCAATATATTGATAAAGATTATGGACATATTATTATAGAAAATTTGGAGATTGTTGGTGATCAAGATTTAATTAATATTTTAAATAAAGGTTCAAAATTTAGGACAAAATTTAAAATGAAAAATGAAGATTTTATTTTACCCATTAAAAAGGATCTAGATTTTTTTATAGCAAACATTTCCAGAAAATATTATGTGTAAATATGTGTATTATGTATTTTTTTAAAAATTGATTATTGGAGAATATAACGCAAATAATACTTACTTAAAATTTGAAAAAAGATAAGAAAGTTATTGAAAAAAGAATTATTGCATTTAGTAAAAAATTAAAATTTAGTTTAAATAAGATTACATTTCTATGTTTATTTCCTATTGTTAAATTTCATAAAAGTCCGGTTAAATTTAGGTTTATTGCGTGTGGTACTAATTGTTACAATTCTGATACTAGTGAAACGTTTTTTAATTTTTAAAAAATAATTTTGCTTTAATTTGAAAAAGAGAAAAATATTGCTATAGATAGTAATGTTGAAGTTTTGGATTATATTAATAATAATGATATTTCTAGCATTAATACTTTCGACTTTGAAAATTTGTATACAAGTATACCACATGAACAGATTATTATATAATTATTATATAATTATATAATTATACTAGTTATATAATTAAAGTTTTCATGGTTTTCCGCTAAGGAGATTCTCACATCTTTTATTTTTGGGGGAAGTATATCAAAGATTCTTTCAGTGATTTTAAATTTTACCATTATTTCTTTTTAAATGAATAACTTTTACTTAAGAAATGCATCTTTATATCTGTTATTACTTTTCTCATGATTTATAGTTAAAAATAAAAAAAACTTGGAATTATATGTCAATCTTTATATTTTTTTCAGTTTACTGTCTTTTTTGAAGAAAATTCATACAGAGATTGTCTATTAGCTTGCCCTTAATTATTTTTCAAAGCTCTAACTTTTCTGTTATTTTGATAATGAGTGAGAATTACTTTGAGGATCAAATTTAGTTATTACATATTTTGATAAATTTTAACAGTGATAAGTGAGTTCCCTTTTAAAAGTTATAGTGCCTTATTCTATGAGGAAGCACCCGGCCCTTTTTTTATTTCGAGGGTGAACTCTAGTAATATTATGTAATAATTGAATTTTATTCTCTGTTTTTAAATTATCCTTTATAATATTTCATGTGAATATTTCACTAAGTAATTTTCACTCTTTATCAAAACAGAAGACAAGCGGTTATCAATATAGTGACTGGGATATATATGTTCCAGCCGTAGTTAATGGTTCGATACATATGTCCCAGTTGTAGTGATCGACATACTACAAGCACATCTATCATTTCTGAAAAATTTATTATATGAACTTTTTCCTACATGGTATGATACAGGGTGAAGCAGTCTTTGCATAACCCGACATTACACATTGGACAACTCATTTTTGTTCTTTTTTCTATGTTCATTTGAGAAAATATGAATAAAATATGAATGGACATAGCAATCCCAATGAAGAATACGAGTGGGATATACCTTTCCCAATGAAGAATACTTGTGGGATATATCTGTCCCAGCGCAAAATCACAATGTTATTTCATGCAAGAAACTCTTTAGCGCCATCTAAGTAGCGCCATCTAGGGATATTTGACACATGAAACGCGTATACTTGGTTCGACTCTACGACTGGGACATATTACAATGAGTTTCTAAGTGCTTTTCACTCCATTAGTAATTTTTAAACATCTGTTGGGATAAATGAGCCCCGTTAGTAGTCAAAGAATTAAAGCACATTAAAAACTTTGCACATTTCAAAATGTATGAGAACTTATCTTAAACACATCTTTAGTTTGATAATGATTGAACTCATGTTTCGATACAAATTAAGGTAAGCAACGTTAAAGTGCACAAAAATATTATAAATGCAGACAGCTGTTTCGGATGCTCAAAGGGCAACCTTCATCAGTGCAACACATCCTGTTGCACTGATGAAGGTTGCCCTTTGAGCATCCGAAACAGCTGTCTGCATCTATAATATTTTTGTGGTTGCTTACCTTAGTTTGTATTTTTGCACAAAGGTCGCCCACTTGTGTATTCATATTTCGATAGTTTGAAGTTTTTAGAGGAATCTTCACTACAATAAAAGGGGCCTTTTTTTGTATTCAATTTTTGAATAAATTCTTGAATTTCAGTAAACTGTAGTTCTGTTTCATATGATCATATGACAAGATACTTTCTGCTTATTCAACTGTTTATCTGATATATTTAGTCTCATAACAAGAGAATATTCGCAAAATTATTCACAATTTCGTAACAATAATATGAGTGATTGCGTCGAGCTTAAATGTATGTTGCAGACAGTAAATGCCAGGTGAAAATAACCTTGACTAGTTATACGAAACCGGATAATTAGGTTCAATTACCCGTGCATGTACCCGGTACTGCATACTGAAATTCGTCAACCGTATCCGGATAGTGAGCAAACAGTGATTGGTAAGAGCTGGTACCCGGTACAACTGGTTGGTAAGAGCTGGTTTGTAAAATCTGTTTTCCCGGTACATCTCTAGTAGATATTAATTAAATGCAAATCAAGAAAATAAATTGAAAAAAATTAGACGCGTCGAATAAAAGCAGCATAGAAGCAAGGAAACATTATATTCTTATCATTTATTAATAAGATTCACATTTGTACAGTTTGTTTACTCTTTCAATATCACTTTTGGTCATTCCCGGCTTTTTGAATGCGTGAAATAATCTCTGTCCATTTCTGGCCACCATCGTGTCCTTTCCATTCATGGAGAAGGCTTTGCTATCGTAAATCATGATGGAGTCGTAATCAAATGTATTGTACAAGATATTCCCTTGTGGACTAAGCTTTCGGAAGTTCTTCTGACGACCTAGATTATAACAAATTATATAGACTTGAGCTAAAACATAATACTTACAATTCTGAATAAAATAAGTGATATATTACTACGAACTTTCCACTATATTAATCCTTAATAATTCCACTTATGCTTTAAAAGTAAATATTTTGTACTTTGTTAAATTTTCGTAAACAATGAAACCTGTATTTTTTTCAATGTTTAAATCACCGAAGAAGAGAAATACCAATTAATGAAAAGCATAAATTAAATGACATAAAAATATAAAGTTATTTGATGAGAATAGAATATCTCACTAAATTTCAAATGTCTTTGCAGCATTCGTATACATATGGCGCCGTTGTTTGTAATTCAATGAACTATGTTTTCTGTTGCATTATAAACCGATTCAACTGAAATTTCTGCAGAAATGTCAATATTTTTGTGCCAGATTATACGACATACTTAAAACAACTTCGCAAACAGATGGCGCTGTCAACAACTGCTTACAGCACCATCCTCATAGCAAAATAAGGCTTATTTTCACTCAACGAAAACCTTTGAATTACCGTATTACAAACGTAAAAAGGTTTGCAATACGGTTTACGTGTAAACCTTCTAACCTTAAATCGAGATCTGTGACAATCTGCTCTATTCTACGCTCATTACCCTAATACCTTGGAAAACAACCTTCTATATAAAAACCTTAAATCGAGGTTGTCTTAGGGTTTTCAAGAGTGACAAAAAATCCTTTAATAATACTAGTCATAATGTGAAAATAATCTTAAATTCAGGTAATTATAAGGTTTCTTTTCGCAACGTCATGTATACTCAGCTGAAATCCACCTTGTCAGGAAATTTTAATGGACAATGCAATTTGATCCTATCCCTAGTGTGACTGTCAGCTAAAACGTTATTACGGATCTAAGTAACAATACTCTATAAAAAAAGCTTCAAAAAATAATTTTTAATCTTATTAAGATGAAAGGTTTGAAACTGCAATATTTTTGCTTTATTAAAAAAAGGTTTTTAGTACGAATCTTTTCGTGACAAAAAAAAAAAGAAAATTACAACATGAAGTTGCCAAAAGGTTAAATGCTTTCTGGGATATTGATGAACTTTGAGATAACAAGTTTTAAAACTTGTAAAAAAGAAATTTTTTTAATTTCCAAAGGAAAACATAGATAACCTGAAAATGCTATCACTTAACATTTTTCTATCCCTTTATTCATATCGTCAGTTGTTTTTTAGAGCCACTGGTTCGAAATAATCAAGAAATGCAATGATACAAACAATAGTTTTCATCCTGTAAAAAAATGCGCTACATTTTTTTGTGAACAAGTACATTCCGCAATAAACTTGCACGTATGTACATTTTCACTGGAGTCCAGCAGTGGACTGAGCGTTAAGACACGGTTCCCAGCAGATCACCGAAGTCAAGCATCACTGGCTACGGTCAGTGTGAGGGTGGGAGACCACTTGGATCAGTTTGCGTAGGGACCGAGGGTGTGCGGTATTGGTCCTCGTTAAACTGTTCTACCGTAAAGTGCTCGACTTCGCGTGCAGGTCGTCGGGCTACCGAAGCGGGTGTGCCAGCCCCTCCGCAGAGGATCAAAATTGTGATGGCATGTCTTCGGATCATCCTCTGGGATGTATCCCCGAGCGTCGCCAATAGCCCATTGTGCAGCTCTAGTGCAACGTAAATTAACAACCACCACCACAACATTTTCACTGGAACACTATTAGAATTGTGCACTTAGCAGTATGCAAATGTGCACCACATAAGTAAACACGTTTTTTTTAACGTTTACACTAAGTTAACACGCAGTTTACTCACCACTCAATGTCACAGTAAATAATTTTAAAACAGGCTTACCATTAGGCAAACTAGGTCTATCATTGTCATTATCTAAAAGTAAAAAATCTGTTTTAATTTTTGAAAAGTGACGAGTACTAGACCTGTTTCTAAAAGTACTTTTGCAATAATTTTGTATTCTGCGCATTTCAATGGTTTTTCCTAATGCTTGATCCAAGAATTCGATTGTCTTCTGGGTTTGAGTTAGAGATTAAAAGTTGATGCAGTTGAACATCGATAGCTGTAAACTCAGAATTGGGACGACTGTTCATCTCCGGTTATATGGTTACAAAATAAAGTAAAATTAGTGACGTTAAAACTGAAGCGAAAGCAAAAACATTTTTTTACGTTAAAGATATTGTGGGACCACTTTATGTTATTCATTAACAAATGCAGGTATCCCAGCTACACTTATCCAAAAACAAGTTTACTATTAAACAAATCATCTTATTTTTTTTAAAAAAAAAGGGAAACAGAGTATTTACTTACTTTTTGCAACATTTTCCAAATAAATTATCAAGTACTCATCTCTGTCTGATCTGTTATGTTCGTGATCGAATCCAACTGCGTGTCCCAACTCATGGATTATTGTACCAAAGTAGTGACAGCCGTTACCAAGTGATAATCTCTGCTGGCCATTAATTTTTCCCACGCAAGAATAACACCTGCGGTGACGAAAGCGAAATAAGTGATGTTTGGAGCATTGAACTCATTTTAATTTAATCTCATTATATATATNCTAAAATTTTTTTTCCCAATTCTAAGTAATAGTCTCCTAGTTTTACTAGTTCCTTAGCTTTGTGATTAAATATTTGAGATTAAAGTAGTAAATATGATGTAAGTGCTCATTTTTCCAGACATTTTAGTTATTTAAAATTTCAATAATGTCACTAGGAAATAAAATTTTATATATATACATATATATATATATACAGAGCGAGAGAGAGAGTTAAATATTTTGATGTGACTTACCCTTGCCCTGAAAAGAGTATGACATAGTTCCTTTCGTCTGTTCTTGGAACAAATCGAACACAGGTGTTATTATGGTAATTATCCATAGCTCTCATGATTAAGGCTTCTCTACGTCCTTCATAAATATAAAACATTTTAATAAACCACTGTTTATGTATCATTGCAGCGTTCGCTTAGCGAAAAATGAAGAAAAAAGAACATCTTGAAGAAGCAAGAAAAACGAAGAACAATAAAAACATTAAACACAGTGAAAAAAAAACACTAATTGTAACAAAAATGATACTCAATTAAAGTTATAAGTCATATCCATAAAAATACACTTTCACTACTGTATAAAATAAGTTTTTTCCCTCAAAAAAATTATAAAACATCATTTTTTATGTAAACATAGCGTAGCATCGTTACAGCATATATTTAAGAACTCATTATTTTCAATTATAAAAATATTTTCATTACTAAAAATAAAATTAAAAAACACATATTTATAAATTATTCAATTTTAAATACCCCATACTGTTTTAAAAGTTAATCTACTTCTCACAGTTTCATATACCCGAAACTGTACTACAATCTGAAACTGTAGCGTATAATTATCTAATCTTCATTAAATTTTTCCAAGAACCCAAGAGTAAAAGCGGAAATTGTTAAAATATGCAAACAAAATATAAAATTTAACGTTTCTTATTGCCTGTATTTAATCTTTTTTTTTACTATTTCAATAAGCGATTTCTCTACTTTTTCACTTAGTTCACTAGCAGAATAAATTACACTTTAGTACTCAATATAACAGAACGGGAAAAAATATCTTGATGAAAAAGTTAAATAACAATTTATTTCAGAGACCACAAACTGTTAAAAATCGTTTATTTACAATTTTCAGCTAATGCTTTTATGTAACCAGAAAGTTATCCTCGCCCATTAGGCCTAAAGGCAACGAGTATCGCTTCTTTTAAAGCTGTAAACCAAGCTATGTGATAAACATGATGATTTCCTTTTCTTATTTTCCATCATCGGGGATGCCTAACCCAACAACAGTTGCCAAATAATTTTATAGCAATAAGTGTATGGCACAGCAGCTGAATTTTCGGAGTGAATTTGCAGCACCATCTTTATAAATGCAAATTTATCTGCGACTTTAATCCAGTCAGACAAAGATTTTTATTGTAATAATTCGGCTTAATCAAGAAACATGCAACTAAATTTGCCAATATATGATCTTAAAAACTATAATAAAGACTTTATTTTGTTTAAATTTAAAACTAAAGAAATGGAGCAATTCCATATACAATGAGGCCTGTAATCAAGGAGCAGGGGGAAAAAATCTTTATTTTTTGTTTAATTTAGTTTTTTTTAATTTTTTTTATTGTAACATAATCAGATACAAGCTTAGAAATATTTTAAAAATGAGTGTCAGCAATTTTTCAGCATTACTGTAGGCATTAGTGTACTTTATGCGCACGCGCATCATTGCGCACCTCATCACGCATCCCATTGCGCACATCCTAACCTTTTAACTAAACAGTGATTAGATAGTCATTCTTGTGATTCTTCCCACGCAGCGAATGTGATTGCAGGCTGACGAGGCAGACGGCCTCCTCTTATATGTCCTGTATTATGTCCTATATGCTAATAAATGTTTGTTAATTAAGTTATGCTCATTGCCTTTTCCCATATTAGTTTGTTTGCTTTTTAAAAATTGAAAAGAAAAAAAAATCTAGTATTTCCCCTCTGTCGTTAAAATAAATGGCACCACTAGATTAACTAGTTCAGCTACATTCCACGGTCACTTGAACAGAAACAACTCAACTGTTATCTAACTACTAAGTCCATTGCCTCACCAAAAGGCTATCATAACCTAAATTCAATGTTACCTGTAACTCCAACTCCCAGTTAAATTTCATCTTCACGGTTCGGAAACCAATGCTAATAGTGAATAATTACAAGCCCTCATAATTTTTTATTTACAATTTTCTAATCATATCAATCGTTAAACATTTTCAAACCCGTAAAGGTAAAAAAAGGTTCCTAACCGTAATTAAATTTTGTAGACAAGCAGTTGCCGGTTATTTTAGCGCAATTTTGGAATGAAAATTCTAACAGTGCTGTTACAAAACGTAAAATCTATACTATTTCAGAAAATATGTATAAAAAAATATAATATTGCAGTTATGATAGTAAATGAGACTGATAAATAGTTTAACAGAGAATTTGAATTTGTTTTTAAATCAGTATCTTACTTAACGAAGAGTGTATGACGTAAGGAATTGTCGCGTTTGGCCATCTCCTCCTAATATAAGGGATAGCGTTTCGTTCAATGTCCTATAAAAAACAATAACAAATACCACTTGAAACTACACAATAAAATTAAGAGAATGAAATAAATTGAAATTGATAACAATAAAGTAACTAACAGCTTTGAAATTAAGTCTGTTGAGATAAAATAATGTGAATGTATAATTTATTATGGTAACATTATTTTTACCTTTTACTATTATTATTTAATATAATTTTTATTATTATTAATTAAATGTAAAATTATTATTAATTTACCTATATAATAAAACTAAATAACTCTGTAACTAATATGCATATGAAACTTAGCGGCAAGTATTGAAAGTAGACAACAATTAGAATTGCATAAAGCTTTATTTTTTTGGAAACAGATGTTTCAGAGTCATCTAGTGTTAATGATATAACCTCGATACAATTTTTTTTTGTTTATTTCTGCTGCTTATTTTGATTTTTATTTAATTAGTCATTAAATTTAATTATTTAATTGTTGTATTGAAACGACTGAGTCAATGGCAGTAAAAATCCTTTACTCAATTTATTAAAAATGAGCTTAATATAGTTTTTATTGAAAAATATTGTGATTTTCTTCATAATTATTTTAAAGAAAATGAATAATTTATGCAATAGGAAATTTAAACAATACTAAAAATATAAAGAATAAGCAATAATAGTATGTTTGATGTTAAATTGCGTTTCTTTAGATATTATATTTCAGATATTTAGATATTTATATTATTTGAGATTAGAATTTTATTTCTTAAAAAAATAATTTTTCGATTTTGAAAAAAATTGAAAATGATATTTACTGTGGAGAAAAATGTTATAATTTTATTACTTTTTTAAGATGTAGAACTTTCAATCATAAAGATGCCTAATTTCTAAGGTTTATCAAACGTTTTTTTTTTAAAACATTAATTCTTTAATTTTAAAATGCAGTTTTATTTTCATATCTTTTCCTAGACATAACTTTGGTAAGTATAATAAGGGAGAACAACAAAACAATAGTGTGTAAGATTTTATACTTTTTATATTAAGATATTTTGATCTCTAACATTTTTGTAGATGATATAAATTAATAGATTAATTTTGTTTTAAAAAAATGCGATTACTTAATTATAAAACAATACTTACCAAAGATCCATCAATACCAGCTATATCACCCTCATATAAATCAGGATTTTCAAGAGCCAAAGTAGCTTCTGAAATTTTAAGGTTGTAGTTTAGTAAACTCAATTAGAAATCTATTAATAATTTATAAATCAATTAAATAATCTTATAAAAAGCTACGACAAAATATATTTCTTGAGTCGTGGTGGCCCAGGAGATAGAAAGTTCGCCTCCCATTGAGGAGACCCGGGTTCGAATCCTAGTGGCGACTGGTTGATACGAATTCTGCTCCCGACTCGCTCCAACCACAGTACTGATGTAAAATATCGTCAATGAAGGATGGATAATTGGTTAGAGTCGAATTTAACACAACAACAATTCCGTTGACAACTCTTTTTACTGGAGAAGATTATTTTGTAGAGAAGTATTGAATATTTATATACATATATATATATTGGGTTGTTCGGAAAGTTATTTTGTGTTTTGGGGGGGAAAGACAATTTTCGTATAATGAATAAATATTTTAATAAATTATGTATTGGCCTTTCTGGCCCATCACCTTTTGCCACCTTTGTGGTAGTAGCATGATTCCAAGCTCATAAACTTTTTTGGTCTTTGCTGGCAAAAAACTGATCCAGGTGATTTTTGACATCTTCATTTGAAGTAAAGGTTTTACACGCCAGAAAATTTTGCAGATACCGGGACAAATAATAATCCGAAGGTGCCAGATCTGGAGAATGTGGTGGGTGTGATGGTGTATCCCATTCAAGCTGCAAAAGCTTTTAGCTAGTGACCAAATTTGTATGAGGTCTCGCATTATCTTGGTGTAACACTAAATCTTTTCTACTCATTAATTCTGGCCTTTCCTGTTGAAGTGCATCATTCAGTTTGTCCATTTGACGACAGTAGACTTCCGAATTAATTGTTGTGTTAAGCTAAAAAAAACTCTTCCTTTAAAATCCCACCAAGCAAACAGCATCACCTTCTTTTGATAGATATTGGCTTTCGAAACGCTTCGAGCCGGTTCATCTTTTTTGCTCCATGATCTCTTGAATTTGGCATTGTTATAGACAACCCATCATTCGTCCCCAGTAATGATGGATGTCAAAAATGAATAATTTCCATGACGTTTGAGAAGCGAATCAGAGACGTCAACGCAACGACACAAATTTCTCCCGTGAGAACATGGTTTATCGTGTCTTAATCAGTTTTAGTTTTTACCTTTTCTATTGTAAGAAAGTAAAACATGACGAAAATTCTGCTTATTGCTCTCCATATTTAAAAGGGCACCCAACCAAAAACTACTGCATAGAATTAATAGAACTTTTTCACACACAAGCTTTGCTATATGAGCTCTGAAAACATATAATGGTAATGCGGCTGCGGTTTAAGTGTGAAGTTGGATGCGAAAAGGTTGGGTNCGAACCCAACCTTTTCGAACCAACCAACATAATAACTGTTTCGCTTATATCTAAATAACTGAAAATCAGGGCAAAATTGAAAAATTATTGATTGGAAGTAACCCGCGTTTCAAAAGATTCTACCTTTGACTCAGAGAAAGACAACTGTGTTTCATGCTGAATTTCCTAACTACAAATTATTAAAGTGCTAATATTTTTCATTTATTTTGAACTAAATTAACAGAAAGTAATGAAAAAATTTTAAAAAAATGTGTTTAGTAAAATGTTTTCTTCTAAGGGTTAATATGAGAGACACTTTATAAAATTGAGATTCGAACATATAATCAGGATGTTCAAATCTTAATTTATTGTATCTAGTGTACATGTGACAGAAGGAAAGATAGGCAAATGTTTCGAAACTCAAAAGCACCGCAATAAGAGCACTGAAAGAATTTTTTTTAAAAAAAGTCTTCAAAATCAATAAAATCTCTCTTCATGTGAGATAGTACCAAGGAAATACCAAAATGATAAATTCGTAACATCTATTTGTTGTTATCTTGAATCATAGCTATTTTATGGCCAAAGAAAAATATTCTATCAAACATCTATAAAACGAAGTATTCACTCGGATTTGGCTTAAAATAATATATTATAATTTCATGAAATACACGTGACTACCTTTGTTGATATTTCCGGTTGCGTATCGCTCTCAATATTTATAAAAAAATGACAAAATTGTATTTAATTTTTTAATATTATTTAAAATTGTACCATCAATATGCTATAGCAACTTCTGATCCTTCTCGGGATTTGAAAAGTGGAAATAAATTTAAAAAAATTTTATTATTTTTATGTACAACAGTGGCACACTCTATGGAAGAAACACAAACATTACAAATATCATCAATGAGAGAATCGGTTAAAATCAAATTCAACACAATAGTCTCTGTGGAAAAAGCGCGAATTATCTCGAATTTATTGATTTTTTCCCATTTGAAAAGTTTTTGCACTAAATTTCTTACCAACTGAAACATTATGAATAAATTATTAGACAGGCTTTAAATTGTACCATAAAAGGCTGCAAAAGATGTTTTCTTCTTAATGTTTTCGTCGGCGCAGTTCTCAAGGAAGATTTTTAAGTTTCCTCTAGAAACAAATAGCAATTGTGTTAATTTTTTCTAAAAAAATCAAATCCAGTGGGGAAAGTTATGAAATACTTTTTGTACAAATTATGTGTTCCTACATTGTCTATTATCAGAATAACAAAACTAATCACTGTTTAGTGTTAATTTCGAGGAATTCGAACAAGCATGATGAAATTCATTCGAGAGTTTCACAATTGAGGCTCCTACAACTAGTTTGATACATCACCCGCAATTGAGAATCTTTTTGATGTTTCTAATGTGGCTAAAATTATAAGAGATATTCAATATACCATCCTTATATACATCCAGTAGCACTTGAGAAACGAACTTCGGGATATTACACGAGAAAATTATTTCAGTTTATTTTGTTGCATCTATGTTTATTAAGAACCACAAGCTTAATTCTTAATTCTAGGTAGTGCCATACAGTTTCTTCTTTGGAGGCGGATTCTCTGGCATCGAAAGAATTTTTCACTCACTAGTTTTCGAATGCATTATTTATCATTTGTAATCATGACTAATAGTAAATTGTAATTGTGAGTAAAAGAATACTACACTACCGTTTGTGCAATTATTACAATTTAAAGTAAATATTGAGATATTGCGAGGTATACATTATTGAAATCATGTTTGTGTGAAGAATTCAAAAAAAAAATTTATTATGAATCACGCAGATATGTAATGTTTTACACTTAGATATGTAACACTTAGTTTTCTTAAGTTTTCAATAATCATAAAAAACCTGTTATAATGCGAGTAATATAAATCTAAGCACACTTTTTATAATCTGACTCCCCCCCCCCAAAAAAAAAACAGAGGTTATTTAATGTGACAGCATTTAGCCAAGACAGCAGAATGATGAAAAACTCGGAAAAACTGAAATAATTTGTGTTTCCTAAACGCAGGGCGAGATCGGAATAAATTGAAATAATTACAATATTTTAACTTTTTTAAACCTTCAATTAAATAAAACAAAAAAAGTTATTGCATGTTGATTGTGCAGTGTAAAGTTGGATTGAAAAATTTGAAAACAAGGTTCGATTTTAACGGTTATTTAAATTTTTAGTGGGATGCGTGACTAGAAAATATCAACCGATTTTAAAGATTTTTATGTAAATTTTCTTCTTTTTAAATGAGACATCTTCACAGTGAAGCATTTTGAATTTAAAAACTTATTTCGGCCACCCTAGTATACACCCAATGCACATAATCTCATTCCTAAAGTTCCCCTTTTGCCCTTCTACCCTTTATTATTCTGTCCATCTTCTCCTTCTATGTTGACTTTCTATGTTGAATAATTTAATACTAATCGTCAAAATTTTAAAATTTCCCTGAAAGTGAAATATATATATATATATATATATATATATATATAAAATCATAAAAATTTTAAACTAATCTTTTTTTTAAAAAAAAAATGCTTAATAATTGAGGGAAAAAATTACCTTTTTCCTGATCTGGACTTAGCTGAATAAATTCAGCTAAAGTAACAGTGAATAAGCCAATGAATAACAGAGTAATCTCCATGTTTGTAAAATTAAGAAGGAGATAAAGGTATATATATTCTGTGACTATGTGACAAGGATTTTAAATGTACCATGCGTGATACGATTATTTAATCTTTGATGAGAAAAAGCCTTCTGTTGTTTTTTTTATTCCGAAATCTAAGTAAAACATTTAAATATTTATAGTTATCAAATTAAAATCGCTCGAGAGCAAGATATATAAGAAAATGCTAATCATTCTGCAGATGTGAAAAGTTGAAAATAAACGTAAATTTTCACAAGGTTTTAATTTCAGTCTTTAGCCTTTCTTTTTATACTCGAAAGAAAAAAAATCCTTCAATTCTTTATTTAAACTATTTCAATTTATAAAAAATTACAAATTTAATCGGAAAAAAATTATTTAAAATGTGACATTTTTTTTTTCTTTTGAAAAAAATGGTGAACTTTTACTTGTGACATGAGTTTTCTTAGTTCTTGTTTACAACATTGCAGCAACTTTTAAATAAATAAATGGTCTGAAAATGTAATTTATGAATTAAATTTATCATCCTGAGTTAATTCTATGAAAATAAGTTGAATTCTATGGTTTCTATTACCCTAAACTGAATAAAAAAAACTCTCCATTTAGTGCTTTCGTGATCCCCGTCAGTAAACCAAAGTAGTTGAATTTTATGCTTACCCTGGTTTTATATCGCATAAAGAAGAAAATTATGAAAACCTTCCATAGTTTACCCAATAAGAATTAAATAATTTTTATCTTTTTTTTAATAATCTACGAAACAAAAGTTTTAAAGAAACATAAATGCAGAATAATGAGCAGAAAACCGAATTAGGAAAATTTTTCATTATCACCGGAAAGTTTTATAGTATTATTCATTAATAAAAACAATATCTATCAAAAATTGTATTTGACTTTCAGGCTTCGAAAATTAAACGGACTGCGGTGATTTTAATAAAAATATTTATTAAATGCTTCCATTGGAAAGTTCCGAACGACTTAGAGTGTTCAAATGCAAAAAAAGACAAATATCACATATAACACGATAAGTTAACTAGTTCTACGTTATCAAAAAACTACTAATTTAAAGAAATTCCTACTTGTCTTTACAATAATCAATACAGAGTTTTGAAATATTTGAAATACTTAAAAAAATAGTGTATATCGAACTAATTACTTCAAAATTAGGTGGCAACAAAAGGTTGAAATGTGTTACAGGTGTCTGGCAGAAAGTTTTCAAATTGAGCTTTTGTGTTCGCCAGAAAGCTTTTCATTTTATCTAAATATAATCATGAGAATATTTTTACTGAAGGAAGAAAATATATATTTAAGCTAAATTTACCTTTTCGAAAAGAGCTTTTCATTCAATTTTCGTTAATCAAGGAATTCTAAAATATGTTTCAACATCAATTCAAACATTGCAAATAAAACTTTTTTAAAATTATTGATAAGAAATATAGAAATATATTTATTGTAATAAATATTTTACGAAGTTTAACAAATTTCATTCAGTTATCTACTTCCCTTGAGCGTTTAATATGAGTTTATAATACTATAAAATATTTATAAAGCTGTACAGAAAATATGCAAAATGTATTAAGTTATACAGATATAAAAGGTTTAATGAGGAAGTTTTTAAGTATATTATTATGGCTGAATTCATAATATTAGTTTTACGAACTTGGTATAGTACACGGTGTTAATGGTATCTAAATTCTTTCCTGCAGATGTTTTTCTTTAAAAAAAACAGGCATTAAGAGGAAATATATTTTTTTAATGGTTGTTCGAAAAGTAATTTTGTTTCTTTTGGGGAATTGCAGCACAATTTTCGTATAATGAATAAATATTTCAATAAATTATATATTGCCCTTTCTGCGCCAACACCTTTTGACATCTTTCTGGTAAACATAAATCCACGCTCATAAAATGTTTGGTCTTTGCTGGCAAAAAAACTATCCAGATGATTTTTGACCTCTTCATTTGAAGTAAAAATTTTACAGTCCAAAAAAATTTGCAGTGACCGTAACAAATAATAATTCGAAGGCGCCAGATCTGGAGAATATGGTGGATGTGGCAGTGTATCTAATTCAAGCTGTGAAAGCTTTTGGTGAGTGACCAAACTTGTGTGAGGTCTCGCATTATCTGGGTGGAACACTATACCTTTTCTGTTGATTAATTCTGACCTTTTCTGTTGAAGTGCATCATTCAGTATGTCCAGTTGACGACAGTAGATTTCCGAATTAATTGTTCTGTTATCCGGTAAAAGCTAAAAAAGAAGAAGAATTAAATGAACACAATGCCAATGAACTGAAATTTCAGCCAATGAACACAATGTTCTAGCACAAAGACATAGTATATTATCATCAAAGACATAGTATTTTATCATCAAAGACATAGTATTGTACTTATGTAGAAGAATTCTATCAATGTTCTTATTGGCTTTTAAAAAAGTATATTAGCTATTTAGATTGTACATGGTGAAAAAATCAAAACATTAGCTAAATGAGAAACATATTAGCAAAATAAATTATCAAATATTGCAGTTACTCACCTAAATTCAACTAAATGTGTATAATAAATTAGTTAATGCTAGAAATTCTGAAAGTTTTAGAAAAAAATTTTATTATTTAAAAATATAAACTTTAAACCCTAACTTTTCCTTGTGAGATAATAACCCTCAAAAAGTCTTTCATTTTCAAGAACACAAAAATTTGTTTTATCGCCAAATGAAATATTTTTTGGTGATCAGCATTATTGAAATCAATTTCTATATTAATTAACATTTGTGATAAAGTACATAACATTTTAGAACAAAATAAGGATGTTTTACATACAATAAATTAAAATGCATGGCTGTTAGCATTACCCGAGAAATACCACGTGGAGGTCGCCATGCTGCATTTCTAATCGGGGAGTTTTGATTTTGGCAGTTCCCCTTGCCTACTGCCAATAGAAGTTTCAATTAAATTTTTTCCAAAAAACATTTTTTTCTGCAAAGCTCTAAGAAATTAACACTAAGCATTTAGAATTTCTTTGAAAACACAATTATAGATTTGGCATCTTGGAGCAATTACTGAAAGGCTGTCAAATGACTTAACTCTTGACAGGCCAACATAAAGTTGTCCATGACTAAAAACTTGTTTAGTCAATACTAAACTGATTTTCTCAAAAGTCTGACCTTGTGACTTATTTATAGTCATGGAGAAGGCCAGCCTAATTAATTCCTAATTGAGTTTAAATTAAATATTATCATGTTTTTAGGGCATGAATCTGAATTGAACAACCTGATAATGCTCACTCTGGTTATTGTTTCCGTTTTTAAAAGCGCTATATGTTGAGCCACCTCATGTGACATTTGCCATGTGACATTTTTAGCAGCAATCATTGGTCGATTTTCTAACGTTGCCATTCGGGGAGTTGTAATGAGGCTTTTTTTTTGGTGCCGTGTAAGAGAAATATATATATAGATTACAAACCCATTGAAATATGGTAAGTTTTTACAATTGTTGTTTAAACTTAACCTAAAAACATACATTGAAATTATTCCATGCGCAGTGTCACTTAACCTTATAAAAGCATTAGTGTAATGTCTATGAGACGAACATATATTGGACTGTGGCACTAAACCTTAAAAATCCTCAGTGACTCAGCATTAAAAGAGCAAAACTTAAAAATTTCAACTTGTTAGACTAAAACTATTATTTACCGATGCTAAACAGGCATATAGAAAAAGATACAACAATAAAAGTTGCTCACTCAACTTTAGCCCTTTGACGGTCAGGGAAATGAGCAGTTTTCGTTTCATTAATTCGCGCAGTATTGCGTACAAACAGTAGTCGAAAGTGGCATATGTTTTCCAACTCCGTTCTTCCAAAAATGACAAGCGACTAGGGACAGGACGATTCCATAATAAAAACGGACTTAGAAAATTTAGAAAGGGGAAAATGAGCTCGATATCGGGAAAACGTTGCTGGAGAGAGCTTTAGCTTAGCAAAATACCGCCTTATATTAGCGCCAACATTGGAAGTCAAATTTTGGCGGGATTTTCAGAGGAAAAAAAAAACTTAACTAGGGTCATCAAAAAAGAAAGAATTGATTATTAGACTTTACAGAGAAGACAGTCAAATTTGATTTTTTTTATCTTCAAAGAACGTTTTTAGTGCAGAGAGGTACGTACCTCAGTACTGTTGACAATTATCGGCCGCTGTTCCAGCAATTCTGCACATATTGGAGGAGCGTNATGCAGAGAGGTACGTACCTCAGTACTGTTGACAATTATCGGTCGCTGTTCCAGCAATTCTGCACATGTTGGAGGATGGTTGGAGGAGCGTGAGGGGGGGGGGAGATCGTGAAAAGAATTCCGTGAATAAACCGGGCAGTGGCACTTGACCTTAAAAAAACATCAGTGCAGGGAATACCGGGCAAATTTATACCGGGCAGTGGCACTTAACTAGACCTTGTATATCTTTCAGACATTTACCAAAAGTCTAGTCAACTAGACCTAGTAGAAGTGCCACTGCCCGGTATACCCTACACTGATGTTTTTTTAAGGTCAAGTGCCATTACCCGGTATATATTTGCTCGGTATACGCTACACTGGTGTTTTTTTAAGGTCAAGTACCATTGCCCGGTATATATTTGCCCGGTATACGCTACACTGATGTTTTTTTAAGGTCAAGTGACACTGCCCGGTATAATTCTCACATTTCATACTTTACCTAAAATCACCCAGCATTCTATACAATGCCGGCGTTTCATACTTTGCCGGTAACATACATATATTAAGTTCTAACTAACTTTAAAGTAAAAAAAAAAATTAAAAACAAAAGCAAAACAGATAACAATAATAAAATCAAAGACATAACGAAAAAATTCAACAAATAACATATTTTATACGAGTTCGAAAATGACAGCAAACGTCGCAAAAAATAAACATAAAAACAAATGCGAACGGTGACGGTAAACCTTTGAAATTTAGCCAATACGCCAAGGAAGCGAACAAAAAAATCCCCAATATTCTCAGTGTAATTACCCTCTTTCCTTATTTTTACTCTTCCGACGAAACTCTAAGTTTTTAACATTATGGAATCGTCCTTCCCCTAGTCGCTTGTTAAAAGTATTGTTTTTCTATAAATATTCTTTTAGTTTGTTTTGATACACATTTAATAGGGAATATTTTTTTTTTTCGAATTTAGTGGATAACAATTGTAAAAAATGAGTGAAAACAATCCCACGGACAATGCGACGGATTTAAGGTTATGTCAAGGTACGTCTCTTGTGAATATCAATTGATTGTTAGGTTTTCTCTTTTGAAATTACATTATGACGCATTCACATACATTATTAATACAAATACATTTTCCATGGCGAGACGATGAGGCAACCACAAGCACTTC